TACTCCTGTGTATTTCACACTCCTGTGTGTATAAACACACAGGTGTATAAAACTTCAACTGCGTGAAACACACAGGCGTATCAAAATGCAACTGCGTGAAACACACAGTAGTATGAAACTTCAACTGCGTGAAACACACAAACTTCACGCATGCGTGGAGTGTATGGAGTGTACGGGAGTGATTCACGCAATGGTGCGAATAGTCACGGCCATTATATAAACAAGTGTTCAATGGGTAATTTTTATTTTTATTCAGAATTTCATCCATTTGACATTTTTTAAATGTTCATCGATCGCTTCATTGCGTTTAAAATAGACAATTGAATATTGAATTTATTAACAGATATTTTGCAGAAAAAAAGCCAATAGATTTTTATTTTTTTATATGAATTATAGTCTTGAAGTTTTTTTCGTTTTACATTACAAAATTCATTCTTTACTTGCTCTATTATTCCATTATGCATTGAGTAAATTATTTTATGAACTAGTATTCAATGAAAATTTTCTATTTTCGTTCATATTTTTTTTGCAATTTTTGTACGTTTTTCGTTCTCCAAAATTTTTTAATTATTCAATTGTTTAAAGTACATGAACTTTGTACTGTATTTAATTAGATTATATTTTATTTAATGAAATGAAAATCAAATGAAAAATAATTTTAAATAATTTTTAGATAATTCTATTTTTACTTTATTTTTATTTTATAAAAAAAAAACAATTAAATCATGGAATCCATCTGCATATATGAATTAGAGATCCAGAGATTGAAACAAAGTCATAAACCGTTTTATTCAACATTTTAATATACATATCTACTTTCCCAAGAATACAAAGCACAGAAATTGACAAAACAGAAGACAAATATTCACGAGTATATAAATTTTCACACCGTCAATAGTAACAATAACCATTATTTCCATAATAAAAATATTAATTGTATCAATTTTTCTAACAATTCCAGAGATGAACAAAAATATTTTCCTTGGATCAATTTTTCTAGCAATTCAAGAGATAAATGTTATGTTAATCGTAGAACTGGGTTGAAGAAATGTCGCACCGGTTCTATTTTCAATTCCCCGAGATAATGGCGACCTTGATATGAAAATGCCACTGCAATCTCGTTGATTGTTCGAAGATTGGGAGTGTAATAGCTGAAAAAACGTTGAGTTTCTTTTTATCAAGACCGATAATTTCTCCAGGGAATTCACTATATTTTACCACTGAAGTGTTCCCTCAATTGCTTTCGCTCAATTGCCAACTGATTTCATTGTTCAATTACCTTTTTCTCCACCTTGTGTCCAATTGAAACGTCTCATTCGCCTGAAGAAAGTTTGACGTATTGTTACTGTTATTTATCAATACGAGTGTCGGCGCTCTCGTTCTATTTTCGTTATTATTGAGTACCTCCTCACTTTCTCTGTATATTAAAGTTGCTTTTACGTCTTCTGAGAACTCGAGATGTGTCAGAAAGAGCCTGAATGGAAATGAGGTAAAAAAAAATCAAAAATCGAATAACTTTGATTTTTCTTCTGTGTTGTCAAGTACCTGTGATAATTCTGGGGATGGATTGTTGTCACCTGGAGACAGCCACCTCCGCCGTAAGAAAAATCGTTGCAGAAGTCAGTACGATTGACGGAGACGCTCAAATTCTTCGGGAGAAATGTTATTTTTCGACCCTGAACTTTTATAACTTCGAAGGGGGTTTCGAATGTGCATTCTGGTGCTTGTTGTTTACTCGAAGTACTCTTGGGAGGAGGTTCTGGAATGTTTTTGTACGTGAATTTCAGGTGCAATGATGGCACTGAGATTTGCAGTTTTTGTAAGTTGAGGTTGAAGAATGATCCACTCTCATTAGACTGTGGAGAAGAAAACATCATAAAGCAGATCTCATGGTTTTTGTACAATTATTATTCGTCTGAGAAAATCTTTCCAACCATTACAACTAGTTATCCAATTTGAAGAGAATGAAATGGAATTGAAAAAATTAATCACGTGAAATTCATTTAAAGTATCATATTATTTCATAATTTAATAATTAAACATTTATGTTTTACTGAATTAATTGTAGACGAAAATGATTTGTACTTTCTCTGACATTTCTTTCCATTTGAGTTAAATTTATTACATCTAAATGCCAACATTCATTGCTTCATATCAAAATGAATTTTTCTCATTGTGTTTTTTACATTCGTCCGAGTATTATGAAACTTCATAATTTCTTCAATATGCAGTCTTATAAGTTTAAATTTTGCATTCTGTCAGTTTAAAAATTTAACTTCACTTCTCCCCTGTTCCTAACAGTTATTGCGCATGTAAAGTGTAAATATTTGGCTGTAGGCCCTCGGGCCTATGGATGACCAGCTGCGAGTTTTTACATGAATTTGCAAGGAATTTCGTTGAGAATAAATAACACAATAAGTATTCTACGTACCTCACCAGATTGATACAAACTCCTCCCATACCCTCGGCAAAACGAAGTCTCAAAGCTTTCATTATAATAAATGGGCACGTGGATGTACAAAAGAGGAGTCAATTGCGCCCAAAAAATATTTTCAATCTTCTCGAATGTCGAAGGACCGAAATTCTCGTGGGTCCAGCCCGGGGCGAATATGGCAACTGATAAATTGAATTTTCTTATTCGTTCCAAAGCCTAAAAATAATTAACTACATCAGAAGAAACGCATTAAAAACCATTAGATCATCTCAGATATGTTTTTAGCAGAGTTTTCGACGAATATCTCCGAATCTAAGGGATATACCGGAATTTTTGTAATGACCTCTTTCGTAGCTCTCAACTCACTCTACAAAAAAGGTCGTAACAAAAATTTTGCTATCTGCCTTAGATTCCGAGATATTCACTGAAAACTGACAAATAGTCCAAATCGACTTGAACCGTTTTCCCATTTAGTTACTGATCTGCGCTTTTCGATATCGGAGGTATGATTAGTAAGCGAAAAGAGGAGATCATAAAATATAAATAACTGCCAGTAATGCATTCATAGAGAGATCATTCTCATGTGCAAACCATTTGCTTCACAATTTTTCTCAATCATTCATTCAACATTCAACATTTGAAAGGCAATTAATCCCATCGAATTGGTCAACTAACGTGGAGGGAGTTGAATCCACCGCCTCCAGGACATCCTCTCCCCCAGACATCCAAGCCCACGTAAATATCTCTCAACCTCCCATTCCTAGCAGCTATTTCTCGAGTGCTTCCCAAACTCTCGTCACTCCAATTGTAATTCAAGAAGATGCCATCGCAACAATCAAAGAAAAGTCTGGAAGACCAAAAGACATAATCATCTGCGTCAATTATTCAATCAATACATTCCGAGTAAGATAAGAATAGACAAGAATTGAAATAATAAAACGAAAAATAGAGATTTAATTTCAATAGAACTCGAAGAGAACTTCTTGAAGGAAACATCTTCTTGAGGAATATCTTCGAATCTAAGGGAGATAACGAAATTTTCGTAATAAGCTTTTTTGTAGAGCGAATTGAGGGCTACAAAAAAGGTCATGACAAAAATTCTGCTATCGCTCTTAGATTCTGAGATATTCATTGAAAACCGACCAATACTGAAAATCAACTTGAACCGTTTGTCCTCTTAAAGAAGAAAAAAATTGATTTTCGAATAAAAGAAAATCTTACTGATTCTTCTCATTAAGTTGATTCTGCCAATTGAGACTTCCATCATGAATGATGCTGTCATACCAGATGACCTCGGAATACTCAACATCCTTACGCAACCCATTAGTCAGATATCTGACGAAGAACTGCAATCTCTCGATATCCTCTGGCTTGATTTTGTTCTCGACATTCAAAAGCCACCCCTCGAATCCATAGAACTTGGCCAGAGTGATGAGGGCATCGGCGAACTTTCTAGTCTTCTCCAAGGATGACAGAAGCTCGCTCCAAATTTCCTCCCCATCCTTATGCTCGGTTATGACAGTTCCCAGGACTTTGACGCCATGCTTATGCGCTGCATTTATCCACCCGAATGGGGGAATTGTCACCATGTGATGACTGAAGTAGATGAAGATGTCGATTATGCTCCAGTGGTAGAAGGTGTAGCAGGTGGGGTCTGAGGAGCCATTGATAAATCTACAAATGAGAGGTCAAAAGAATATTTTTTGTGAACGATCTGCTTGGGAAGTTCAATATTCAGTGAGAATTTTTTATTTAGTTTATTATTTTTTATTTAAACAACGCACAAAAAAAATTAATAGAAACAGCAAGCGATTCTATTAAAATGTTCAATAAAAAATGTTCTTTGGAAAAATTCGATAAAATTCAATTTTTCTGAATAGAAGAAGTTGTACAGAAAAATTTAATTTTATCGAATTTTTCGATACAACTTAATCTATTCTGATATTTTCTATAGAATTTCCTTGGCTCGAATTTCGAGTCGTTTTTTAAATTCCACTATGGCAAAGCGGTGATACTAGTGATTAAAGAAATATTTTAAAAATTCAAAAAACATTAAAGTTTACCTGTCCTCCAAATATCCTCCCTTCATATCATGACAGACAATGGTCCTAGGCTGTTCATCACGATTCAATCTCGTTAAAATTCCCGAAGCCTTCTCAATTTCACTCCCAGGATAAACATACCCCGCGGATTGTCTGAGTGGTTCTATCCTCGGCCAGGGCTTCAATTTATCCAAATTCCTGTACAAATCATCCAAAGTGCTGAAGGGCTTCACCACTCCAGAACTCTCCTCCATTGTATCTTCCTAACAAGCTGACAGTGGCCTGTCATCAAGAAGTGTGAAGCACAACTGAGATGTAATGAGTGATGTATGACGGTTTTATACCCATTGAGATAAATGAGCCGATGGAATTTTAATCATGGACAGTATCAAACGGAACTACGCGTTTGTCATAGTTTGCATTATCAAATGCCACAGTTTGGAGGGATGCTCGTCCATGCTGATAACATGGGTTTCCCTTTTTTATTGAGGTTAGGGACAGTGACAGTCATAACAATGATAACAATTGCATTGTAGTCGACAACATTGATACCGTGCGGCTGGGGAGTCAGGTGAATTCGGAGAATTTTCAAGGTATGACCTTGGAAATAAAGACGTTTTCGCAGGCACACGTCTGACGATATTTCAATTGATGAATTCTGGGTGACTTTAGTGCAATTTTATGAGGAATAGAATTTTTAATAGAAATATTTAGTACAGAAATATCAGTTGAGCTTGAGTTTCCGAGAGAAAACTTGTCCTGTTCAGGGGTGAAAGAAATTAGTGGAAAAATCTAGCTTTCTGTATGGAATTGTATTGAATTTCTATTGGAATTCTGCAAAAAAAAATTCATTTTTTTTTGCGACAATTTTCTATTGATAACTGTGCAATTTTACTGTGCGCTTTTCGCTAGGTATTTTATGATAGAAAAGTCTGTAGAAATCTAGATTTTTTTCTATAGGAACTCCAGTGCATGAATGTTCAAGGCTTTTTGTCTCGAATTTTATTCAGAAAAATCAATAAAAATACAGCCGAAGAAAAAGAACACCAATTTCCAAACATTTTAAAATTGACAAATTCTAGGCGATTTTATTGCAATTTTATGAGAAATAGAATTTTTAATACAAATATTTAGTACAGAAATATCAGTTGAGCTTGATTTTCCGAGAAAACTTGCCCTGTTCAGGGATGAAAGAAATTAGTGGAAAGATACAGCTTTCTGTGAGGAATTGTACTGAATTTCTATTGAAATTGCACAAAAATTTTATGTAATTCTGCTATAGGTATATTTGAAAAATGAATTTAGTTTTTTTGCGACAATTTTCTATTGATAACTGTGCAATTTTACTGTGCGTTTGTCACTAGATATTTTTTGATAGAAAAAAGTCTATAGAAAACTGGATTTTTCTATAGGAACTTCAGCGTATGAATTTTCAAGGTTTTTTTTCTAGATTTTTTTCAGAATAATAAATGAAAATACAGCCGAAAAAAATTGTCAATTTTCAAAAATTGAAAAATTCTAGGCGATTTTATTGAAAATTTTATGAGAAATAGAATTTTCAACAGAAATATTTAGGACAGAATCATCAGTAGATCCTGATTTTCCGAGAAAACTTATTTTGTTCAGGGATGAAAGACATTAGTAGAAAAATCTATCTTTCTCTAAGAAATTGTATTGAATTTCTGTTGGAATTCCACAAAAATTCTGTGGAATTCTATTATAGAATTCTATTTGAAAAATTAATTTGTTTTTTTGCGACAATTTTCTGTTGAGAACTTTGCAAATTTACTGTGCGTTTTTCAATAGATATTTTCTCACAGAAAAAATAAGAAGAACATTATCGATTCTATAGAATGGACTTCTATAGAAGTCGATTGGATTTTTTCTATAACAACTCCAGTGTATGAATTTTCAATTTTTTTTTCCTTGAATTTTATTCAGAAAACCGAATGAATATACAGCAGAAAAAAAAAAACTAATTTTCAAAAATGTCTTTGCAAACATCAATAGAAGTATTTTAAATTCCATAGAATCGTCTTATATTTTTTAATTAAATTTTTTCATCCCGTGTTGTGACTTCCGTATTTTAGTTTTACTCATGTAAAGAAATATGAGAATAAAAAAGTTTTTGAGCTTGAAAGATTACGCCCGGATGAATAATACATAACTTTGAAACAATACTGGATAATATGAATAATTTCATCATAATACGCCACTAATTCCTTTATTCACAATAATTATTATTATATCACATTTTATAACCAACAGTTACAATATGATTATGCTTGGTATATCACTTTTGCATGCAACAATATATTTTTCCGAAAATCGAAATTGAAATATTCAAGTTTCATTTTAATTGCACCTACTGGTGTGGGATATTCAATTCCCTATGAGATAGAAAATGGAGAGGTTCTCATGCTGGAAAGCGAATGTTTCCACTCAATCTCTAAATTCTGATATTTATAGTGTTGCTATATGCATATTTACGAGCTTGATTTATTCATGATTACATTTCAATATATGTGGTCATCTGTAAATACTTGTTTATTCCATTAGTAATGGTTGTGCATGTATCCAAATGCGCGCGTCGCGTCAGTCGCACGGAAAAATTGCATTAAAAAAAACTTAGCGAATTCGATAGAAAATTCTGTTGAACTTCTATTGAAAATTCCATTAGCTTTTGGCCGATTCTGTTAAAAAATTTTACCACAGCTTTACTGCGAGTTTCTAATGTAAAATTTCCAATAGAAAGTATTTTATAGAAAAAAATCGGTAGAAATTCATCTTTCTATACAACTTTTTCTATTGACCCGTTTTCTATAGGCATTCCTCGATATGAATTTTCCAAGTTTTGTTCACTTCGTTTTTCTTCTCTTTTTCACTAAAACAATCAAACGAAACAACTTGAGGCGTAAATTTGAGCCGATGAATTTCTATAGAAAATATCTCTGTAAAATAATTTGTATAGAAAAATCGGATTCTATTGATTTTTTTATACAATATTTTTCATTGAACATTTCTGTTGAAAAATGCACAGATAAGCTCCGGATTTTTTTTCATAGAATCTGCCAAAAACTAATAGAAAATTCAATAGAAAACCAATAGAATTTTCTAGCGAATTCACTCAATTTTTTTATGAATGCTTTTTGTACGTGCAGCCCACGGAATTCTACAGAAATCCTATCATTGTCCGATTTTTCTGTTGAAAATTTCAACGGGAAAAATGAATGGATTTTTAATTTTCGTTATAAATTATTTCATTCTCTATAAAACTGGATCTATAAATTGAATTCTCAGGCAAAAATGGACGAAAACATTTTCAAAACTCGGGGAAAACTCAACGAAATAAATTTAACACAAGTTTTTGTTTCTCAATAGCGGAGGGTGGGGTAAAATGGACACTTTTGACTTTTTTTGAAATATTCATGATGTGTTGAATTGTTCATGAAATGGAATAATTTTATTTTTCAATAGAAAGAACAATGATTCCTCTTTGTGATGAGCGTACACTGAACTCAATTGATAAATCTGTTTCTGAGTCATGAATATTTTAAAAAAGGTCAAAAGTGTCCTTCTTTTTCCCCATCCTCCCCTACAATATTTTTTTATTGAATTTCAGACGAATGTTTCTGTACTGAATTTTCAATCTGCGGAATCGGCAATAGGAATCGTTGAAAACCAATAAAATTCAGGCAGAATTCCTTAGAATTTTATTCGACGCATATTACGATCGCGACGATATGTTGACAATTCGTTGAATCATTGTCCTCTCTCTCTCTATAAATTACGATATATCATTATTCCCTGGTCGAGTCGAATTGAGAAACAGACGTTGAATTTCTTCTTCGTCACGTCCGGACCTCGAGGAAATTTTTGATTGTAATATTTACACGTATTTTTGTTCCACTTGTTAACTCTCAAAAAGAGTCTCCTTTATTCCCACTGAAATATCGATAATTCCTGTTTTTCTTTGATATTTTACTACGGTTTAGAGCTGAATTGAAAACAATTTGGAAGAACGAAATTCCCTTTTACACGTAGATTGAATGCTTTCTGTTTTCGTTCATATTCCATTGATCATCCTTGCTCCATTCTCGTTCGCTTTTTCAATGCGTCCGATGGACCGAAACCCTTTGCAAGTACAGCACGTGCGTGATTTACTCCTCCAACAATAGATGCTGAATATTATTTTCCAAAAATTGTTACTTCGAAAAAATAATCTCAACTCTAACAGACAGACGTATGAAAAAATCGAATTGCACCTACTATTTCTTTGAGAAATCCTATTGGAACACTAAGAATTTAATTGGAGTTATATTAGTATTCTACTAAAAAATTTATTCGATATTTGCACTGATTATTTGGAGAATTAAGCAACTGAACCGAGCGATTTTTTAATAGATATTTAGGAAGAAAACGTCAAAAGATTTCTTTTTTTTCTATCTGAATCATTCTCGTTAAATTTTTTCCGTAGAAATTGTTGAGTATAACATTTCCAAATTTTTGCCACTAGATTTTTTTTTTCGTTTCTCATTGCAAAATTAATTAGAAACCTCATGCCCAAGTTATTGAGTGATTTAACCGAGCGATTTTTAATAGATATTTGGGAGAAAAAAAAGTCGATAGATTTTTCTGTGCGAATTTTTCTCTTCAGATTTCTTCAGTAGAATTTGTTCAGCATGAATTTTCCAAATTTTTTCCACAAAATTTTTTTCGTTTCTCATTTCAAAATCAATTAAAAAACCTGATGCTTAAGAATTTTTATAACAGAAATCCTAAAAGAATAAATTATTAAGCAACTTAACAAGGTGATTTTTTAATAGATGTTTGGTAGAAAAAAAGTCAACAGATTTTTTTTTCTATCTGAATTATTCACTTCAAATTTTTTCCATAGAAATTCTTGAGTATAAAATTTCCAAATTTTTTCCACTATATTTTTTTGTTTCTCATTGCAAAATCAATTAACAACCTCATGCTCAAGAATTCTTATTTAAAAAATCCTAAAAGAATAAGTTATGTAAAAGAATCAACGTCCACTGAATTTTTCATAAAAAAATTTCGATTGAAAAATGCACAGCACAGTTGCGTTTTTTTCAACAGAAATCCTTGCAAAAAACAAATCGAATTGTCAAGTAGAATTATCATATATCTTCAATAGAATTTCCATGGAATTTCATGAGAGGTGACGAGGGAAAATGGACAAATGGCTTTTTTTCTAATCTCAATCACTCACTGGATTTTCGATGAAATGAAATATTTTTATTTTTTTTCAATGAAAAGTACATTTCTTCCCGTTCGTGACGACCCTATGCTGACCTCAATTAACAAATTTACTCCCAGTTTATGAGCACTGAGGAAAAAGTCGAGTGTCCATTTTGCCCCGCCCTCCCTAATTAAATTTTTTCATACGTGCAAAATTGAAAGGAAAAATCCTATCCGTTTTTACACCAAATGAATGAGCGATTCGCATCTCCTCAAACTAAATTCCCCGAATTTAGAGTACGCAGATTCGAAATCTACTCTCACCTCTAAATGTATAAAGGACTGACCCTCTCCGAAAACCGAACGCGGGATAAAAATTCGGATGAAAAATCAATGTACGTCTAATCGAGACTCAGTCGACTCCCTCGACCCCTGTCTGTCTAATGAAAATAAAAGAACTAAGGCACGTGTTTTCTGTCGGATATACGATGGTTCTCCGTTATTTGTTTTTTGGTTCTATTCTTTCGAATTGGTCGATCCATTAGAAATTCTCATCAATTCCCCGCTCACGGGATATACCGAAGAGCTCGATTTGATTCTCGGGGGTATCGTGATCGAGATTAGGTGAAACTACTGATATGTCTAGTGGTCTCAAGGCAATGCAATCACGCGGCGAACATTCGACACGACCTTCCCTACCGCAGCTGCACTCCACACAATTTCCGGTTGAATGGGGAAGAACTTCGCCTACTTGGTATTCTTTTCCTGAAATTGAATACAAGTAAATGTGTAAATAAATGGAGAATGCAATTTATTTATTCTTTGAATTGAACGAACTTTCATTGAGATTTTATTCACATCAAATGGATAATTTTTTAATATAAACAAATGTTCAAATAAAAATTTCATAGAAAAACCTGGTCAATTGTCTAGAAAATTCTACTGAATTTCCATTGAACTCTCCATTAATGTTTGAATGATTCTACTGAAGAATTTCGCAGCCCATGTGCCCGTTTTTTAGAATGTTGTTAGAATGTTTAATAGAAATGTTGAATGGAAAATATTTTATAAAAAAAGACAATAGAATTCCTCGCCTCAAATTGTCCAAATTTACTTTGTTTAATTTTTTTTTATGGAAAAAAAGAAAAGTGAAAAGTGAAAAAAACGTGGAACATTTATGACGAGGAATTCAATATAAATTGAACAGAATTTCTTTGATTAAAACATTTCACCACTTGTATGAAAGCATTAATAAAAAAAAATTGTTGAAATGAATAAAAAATTTCGATTGAAATTCAGTTTATAATTTTATAAAAATCAATAGATATTTATTTTTCCACAAGAATTCTTCAGCCTGAATTTTTCAAATTTTATTTCTAGGATTTTGTAATGAGATTTAACAAAAACATAGAGCGGAGAAAACTAAAAAATTTCTACGGAAGAAATTTCAAGAGAATCATTAATATCAAAATATCGAAATCCAATGACTTTTTATATTTTCAATTACTAAAGTTGCAATAGTTGCAAAAGTTGCTTATGTAAATTCATGTTCATTCATTTCAATCATGTTCGTCCTCTAATTCAGAAATAGAAACATCTTTTACCCATGATGAAACAACTGACATGCCGTGAGAATGTATCATTTCCATCCACTCCCTTGATGATTGAATTTGCGTTCCCCTTGACCTCAACACGATCGACAAACACCGGCTGACTCAACTCAATTTCACCGGGTACAATCGTCGATCCATCTGACGAAATCATCCGCGCTTTGTAGTTTTCCCACCAGCAATAAACATCACCAGCCACACACAGACAGTGGCAGTTTGGGTCTCTTGATGATACCTGTGCAAATGGTGCGGATGAAGTATCGGGAGCGTATTTCAGATCGAATCTGACGTTTAACTCGTACGGAGAAAGTTTATTGAGAGCTATAAAAGTTTCTATTCAAGTTTATATTAGATTTTGGCTTATTCGGATGAAAAATTCCGCAGCTTATCAGCGATTTTTTTTAATAGAAATATTCAATGCGATTTTTCAATGGAACTTATTCTATTGAGATATTTCCCAGAGAAATTCCTCGACTCAATTTTTTTCAGTGCTTTAGTTTGATTTTTTTAATGACAAGAGAAGAAAAATGAGTGAAAAAAAATTGGAAAGCTCGTGTGGAGGGATTTCTATAGATATTGCCTCATTAGAAAACGAAAAAACTCGCGAGTTCCCTAGAAAATTCTATTGGGTGTCTATTGTAACTTTTTATTACATTTACATTTTGGCTGAAGCGATTGAGAAATTCCGCAACTTATCTGCGATTTTTTTTTAAATAGAAATATTCAATGAAAAATATTCTACAGAAAAAATCAGTGGAATTCGATTTTTCTGTAAAATTTATTCTATTGAGATATTTTCTATAGAAATTCCTCGGCTCAATTTTTTTCAGTTCTTCAATTTGATTTTTTTAATGACAAGAGAAAAAAAATTGAGTGGAAAAAATCGGAAAGTTCATGTCGAGGAATTCCTATAGATAATGCCTCATTAGGAAACGAACAACCTCGCGAATTGCCTGAAAAATTCCACAACTTATCTGCGATTTTTAAAAAATAGAAATCTTCAATGAAAAATATTCTATAGAAAAATAGAATAAAAAATTTCTATAGTTGGATTTTCTTTTTTTATAAAAAAGGCCGAAAAATAGATTCAAAAAAATTAAGGAAATTCATGTCGAGGAATTCCTGTAGAAAATGTTCTAATACAAAAAGTCCTATAGAAAAATGAAATTCTATTTATTTTTTTAACGAAATCGTTTCAATTACGCTCTTTCTATTTAAAAAAACGCACCGTCGAGCTGCGAAATTCTTCAATAGAATCAGTCACAAGCTAATAGAACTTCTAATAAAAATTCAATAGAAATTCAACTCAATTTCCCTTCCCTGTTCCTTTCGTGCGTCAACTCGCAAAAAAATCAGAACCAGAATTACGAAATCCACATTTTCAAAATGACATGAATAAAAACGCAAAAAAAATCTCGTTGAGCTCTCCATTAAAAAGGCAAAAAAAACCCTTTATTTAATGCAAATAATCACTTTTCCTCGGTGCAGGATTTTCCACCAGCTCATTCATTATTAACTCCTCGCAGGCTCTCAAAACAAACCCTAAAAAGGGAAATAATTAATTACCGTTTGTCCGTGAGAGTACGTAGTCCCATTGACAGCGCATTTTTTAACAACAATCACCTCCTTTGCGGGTCCTGCATGAAAACTCACAAATTAAAAGCCACATCCCTCAATTAATCTCCCCCATATCAATTAATTACACTAAAACGCGTGGAATTGGAGCACCCCTCCCCCACAAAATGCAAATAACCACCCCCAGAATATATTCAATTCAAACTTAATTAATCTCATCTCCATAACATCTCCTCCCCTCCCCCCTGCGCCCCCTCCTAAAAACCTCATTACTCACCGGCATCCGCAGAATTGAAGTACAGCCCGAAAACTTGTGTCAAGAGCAACAAGCATTGCATATTGAAGAGGCCGTGAACTCCTATTTTCCTTCTTTATTACCGTCACCCCCGATGCCGGTGGCTGTGAGAGGTCCACTTGAGCGTGGAGTGGCCCTTGACCCCGTATGCGCTCCCCCGCAACTCAAAATTATTTCTCTGATTACTCGCAATTTCCAACAAATTCCGAAAAAAAAACTAAAATACCTCAATTAATTACGAGTAAACATGAGTAGTTTTCGATCCTTAAAACTCAAAAATTTCCTCGATTTTGTATCATTTATTTTGTTTTCTGATTTTATTTTCTCAAAACATTAATTCTTTGTTTAATTAACGAAAATTAGCGAAAACTAGAATTTTTTCAATTCGAAGCCGCTGATATTACGCGAGATAGGCGAACCGTTCGTGCTTGTCTGCGTCAGGTCAAAGCACTGAAGCTCCGAAATAAAGAAGGGACGAAATATTTCCTCTAAACCGGCGCACGCACCCCCAACAATCACTCCCCAGACCTGCGCAATCGCCGAATTTCAGCCCTCAGACTGTTTTCCGATAACAAATTCCAAGTTCGAGTGAATGTCGGGAAAAAAATGTGATGTGTATTTTTCTGTAAGATTTCGTGGTCGTAGATTTTTCAAGCTTTTTTCTCTTGGATTTATTATGAGGAATGAATAAAAATAAAAGGGAAAAAAATTGGAGAGTTTATGCCGAGAAATTTTCTACAGAGAAATCAAGATCTGTTGACTTTTTCTGCAAAATCTTTATTAAGAATTGGCGCAGAAAATCGATGGAATTTTTCAAGAGAATTTTTAGGGAATTTCAGTAGCATTTGTATGAGTTACAATAAAAATTGAATGGAATTTGTTAGAAAAGGGCTGGATTTTTTAATTAATTGTGTTGACACATTTTTATTTTTCGGTAAAAAACTTATTCTATTAGAATTCTTGGCGATGAATTTTCCCATTTTTTAAAATTTGATTTTAGTATGGAAAAACGAATGAAAAAAAGGAGAAAAAACTTGTAAAATTTCTGCCCAGGGATCTCTGTTGAAAAATCAAGATGAATTGACTTTTTATAAAAAATATCCATAAAAAATGACACGTTGAAGTTGCGGAATCTTGAATAGAAGTTTAGTAGAACTTTTCGAATTATGATAGAAAATAGAATTTTAATAGAAAGTGAATAGAATTTATCGAAAAAAAAAAACACTAGGTTTGTCCATTATTTTTGGATGAACGCAATCGGCCAAACGCTTACTGAGACATGCAACATTTTGTATAAATATTTTTTTGTGAAATATCTTACAAACTATTCCCCAAATTAGATTTTTTCTTTTTTACAATACTCGTCTCGATGGTTTCTATCTAGATCAATCAAAATATCTATACCCTTTCATACAAAATTTTCGAGATATTACCGTTTTTTCTGATAGCTGCCTGAAAAGTTCACTTTTCGAAACGGTTTCGTGTGCGTTATGTTTGTCTATTAAATTTTTTCATGCGTGTTGTCACGCAACCCGTGTAGCTCACGCATGGAAAAATTCAGTAGAAACTACTGGATCATTCTGTACAAAATTTTTCTATTGAAACATGTTCTATAGGAATTCCTCGACATGAATTTTCTATTTTTCCACTCGCTTTTTTTTTTATTCTCTTCAAAAAATGTAAATTAAACAACGGGGATTTCAGTCTAGGAATTTTTACAGAAAACATTTCCATAAAATAAGCTCTATATATCATCAAATATTTCTATTGGATTTCTATTAAACTTCTATTAAAAATTCCACAAGTTTTGGCCGATCTATCGAAGAATTTCACACCTTTAATGCGCGTTTTTATAGAAAATGTCGAGTAGAAACTACTCTGTTGAAAAAATCAGGAAAATTTCATCTTTCTATACAAATTTTTCTGTTGAAACTTTTTCTATAGGAATTCCTGGACATGAATTTTCTGTTTTTTCCAGTATATTTTTTTTTTTTTTTCAAAATAATTGAATTAAAAAAATAGGGGCTATGAGCCAAGGAATTTCTATAGAAAAGCGAATTCTACAGACTCTATAGTTTTTCTATGGAATATTTTCCATTCAACATTCCTATTAAAAAAAAGACAAAAACAAATGGATAAACAGCGGAATTTATCAACTAAATCAACCAAAAATAAACAACTAACTAAGTTCAATAGAAATCGATTAGAATTCTCAAGCGAATTCGCCAAGATCTGTGCGAAATTTTTTCGTACGTGCTGTGAGCCCCAAACAGTCCCCGAACAAAAAAAATAAAATTAATGGAATTGTCCTCACGGAAGTTTTTCAGCCGTGCACCCTCAAGTTCATGCGAAAAGTGGAATGAATGTTCCTATAATATGAAAACGGGGAAACGTCTTAAGGCCATTTGAAATTGAATAGTGGGGATGTGTGTCCGAGGCCGCCATGTTTCAACTCGTGCTTCCTGTCTAGCCACTCGGTTTAACCGGCCATTCTGTCTCAATCCGCCAAGTGTTGAGCCATCTAATTGTCGGCAGAATCCGCGTAAATCATATCAACAGTTGAATAATTACCGTAAATCAGGGAATAGATAAACGTGTGCGCGAGGGATTAAACGCGATGCTCGGACAGCGGTTGTGACTTACGCACATGAGATGACGTTCGAGTCTCATTTAATCTAATTAATTTTTCATTTAGAACAGTACTGCGGTATTAATTTCAGTTATTTCCCCCCCCCCCCCTCAGTTCAGTGAATTTATTTTTCATTGTTTCATCCCCCTGAGTGGTACTTTGAAAGAGTTTCGGGCGTTTTAACCTAGAATTTATTCAAGTTTGATCTCATCTGTTGACAATGGCGAACCTCAGACAAACACCGCTGACCTGCAGTGGCCACACTAGACCCGTTGTTCATCTTGCATTCTCGGATGTCACGGATTCTGGGTATTATCTCATATCAGCGTGCAAAGGTAAGTGAGATAATTGTTGGATTAATTTATTTTTGCGAGTGACGCTGGAGTAACTTGATTGCCTTGGCCCAGTTCCTTGTCCCCAAGGCTCTCGGTGTGTCCGCCAATTGGAGGTCACTGCTCGTCCAGCATTGTTATTCCCTACTGTAGGGCGAACCTTCGTTCGCATCAGGGCCGGTGACTTCCCTGTGGTGGGTACTCAGTGGTTCATGGACGGAAGAATTTCAGGGAAAAATCCTACGGGTTCGGTTGAATATTCTCGTGGATTTCTATTGGTTTTGGCCATTGTTTTTTTAGTATGTTCAATGGAAAATATTCTATACACAAAATTGATAGGATTGGATTTTTCTGCACAAATTGTTCTATTGAGGCCTTTTCTAGAGAAAGTCTTCGGCTCAATTTTTGTTTTTTATTTTATCGATAAAAAGGGGAGAGAAATAGAATAGAAAAACTTGGAAAATTCATGTTGAGAAATCTCTATAGAAACTGTCTCAATAGAAAGCTGGAATTCTCTGAAACAATTCTGTTGAATTCTGTTGAATTGGACCTCTATAAAAAGTCTATTGGACTTTTATGAAAAATTTGTTGAATATTAGAAGTTCTCAATACCCATTTTTTTATATAAAACATCTAGGAGATATTGATCAAGTTGCGAGTGAAGTTTTTAAATTTTCTCTCTTGGATTTAATGATGAGAAAAAAATGTACTGCCCATGATTTCCACAGAAAAATCTAAATCTGTTGACTTTTTTTTCTATTGAATATTTATTAAAAAATGTCATAGTAAAATTACCTAAACTCCACCAGAATTAGCGCCAAAACCCGATACAATTATTGAATAGAATTTTACCACGACTCCGAAGAACTCCAGTAAATAAGTCGCCGGCTCTGATCTCCATTAATTTTTTGAGAAGATTTTTTCGCCGAAGACGTTGGATTTATTTACGACAGATGGTAAGCCAATGCTGCGCCAAGGCGACACTGGCGACTGGATTGGCACATTTGAAGGACACAAAGGGGCTGTTTGGGGTGTTGCCTTGAATCGAGAGGCCACCAGGGCTGCCTCTGGGGCCGCCGACTTCAATGCCAAGGTCTGGGATGCCATCAAGGGAGAGGAGATTCACTCTTTTCAGCATAATCATATTGTCAAGTCTGTGAGCTTCAGCACGGATTCTAATCACCTCTGCACTGGGTCCAATGAAAAATTGTTGAGGATTTTTGATCTCAATAAGCCCGATGCTGCACCACAGGTACTGCAGGGAATCAATGCATTTTTCTGGTTTTCAAATAATAGTTAGGAATAATTAGGAATCGCTGATGTTCGAAAATGACCTTTCTTCAATCCTCAATATCTTCTGATCAGACGGTACGATTACAATGAGTCATGTCTCATTTCGAAGTCTGCAAAAATATCTTCAAAATGAATAAAAATCGTTGAATTTCACTCTGCCCATCTTGAGTTATTACAGTATTAAAACGATTAGTTTTATCCATTTCTTATAATGGAAGTTTATTAAATTTTTCTTTTATTCAAGTTATTAGCAAATTTCGTTCGTTTGGTTATGGATATCATATCGTTAATAACACTAGAGAATAATAGTTATTCCCACACAATAGATATTAATTTTTCGCTTCGGTTATTCAATAATTGCAGATAAGAACTGAATACAACGGATAGGTTCCAGGTTCGATTCCTGGCCGGGTAGAATGGTGAGATCTAACCATTTTTAAAGTCTTGATCAATCGCCATATAGTCTCATCAGACTCGAAGCGATATAAAATAAGCATAAAAAAAAAAAAAAAAAATAAGAACTGAATCCTTAAATGAAATAATAATGATGATTTGATAGCAATCTTGTAACTTAGTGGCAAAATATTCCTTGATCTACTTCTCTCTGTAAGAGATTTGTTATGTTATGCATTTAATTTAGTTTATTTTATACATGATTGGCCTCTTCAGTGACATATTTTGTTGTTTTTCGCAATCAGAGCAATTATTCACATTTGGACTTTCAAATTCGAATAAAAAATATCTTTTTGGTAATTTTCAACTAGCGATTTTATTGGCCCAAGCAAGACTTGTCTGGGAACTTGTTCGTTTTTTTCTCAGTCTAGAATAGCAATGAGAATAATTAAATAAATAAATAAATAAATAATGCTTGAACTAAATTTCAATTAAAGTAAACTCTTCGTTTCGATCCAGAAATTTTCAGGGCACACGAGCTTCATAAAGCACGTCACATTCTTCGATAATGATAAATTACTCGTCAGCTGTGCTGATGACAAATCCCTGCGTGTTTGGGACAGAAACAGTGGTCAAGAGATACGCAGACTTGATTTTCCAGCAATACCTAGCTCTATGGAAGTCTCTAAGGACGGAACCATCGTCACAACGACGCATGCTAATATCGTCACGTTTTGGAACAGTCAAGAGTGAGTTATCGAAATTCTAATTCATTCTTGATTCATTAAATATTTCTCCCTCATATTTCCTCTTGTTTTTTACAGCCTGACGAAAATTCGAGAGTTCACAATTCCAACTCAGGTTAATAGCGTCAGTCTCCATCCAGATCGAACGATGTTTGTTTGTGGTGGAGAGGATTTGAAGATGTATAAATTTGATTATGCATCTGGTGCTGAAATTGGTAAGAAGATGAAAATGCATGAAATATTTATATTTTAGTGAAAATTCTATTAGTTTTTGTCCAATTGTATTTCAGAATTTGGGGCTTTGCTGCTTGTTTTTTATAGAAAGTGTCCAATAGAAAATATTTTATTAAAAAATCCTTAGAATTTTATTTGTCTATACAACTTCAGACATTTTTTGCAGAAATTTCTAGACGTGAATTTTCTAAGTTTTTTCATCTTTATTCTTCTCTTTATTCAAAAAAAATCAAACAAAATTAGAAAACTTGAGCCGAGAAATTCCTAACGAAAATATCTCAATAGAATCAGTTGCTTAGAAAAAGTCCAATAATTTTTGAGGGAATTTTCTAGATTTTATAATGAAAATAAATGGCAAAATAATCCCACAATGGCAAAATAATCCACATTGACTAGAATATAAAAGACAAACGTATGGACAAAAAAATAATAACGTTGGTCCATTTAATTGAATTCTAGAATCGTTCAAAGGACACTTTGGCCCAGTCCATTGTGTGAGATTTTCTCCAGACGGTGAACTGTACGCAAGTGGCTCCGAGGATGGCACACTTCGACTCTGGCAAACAACAGTAGGTAAAACTTACGGTCTCTGGCGTTGCACCGAGCAGACTCCAACAATCCAAGAAAATCCGTCGGCCATCAACAACAAACAAGAAGTACCCGCCAGTTAAATACAACTCCACTCACCCCCAAATCTTCGAACAATGAAATTCTCTGTAAATATTGGATCTCAACGTATCCGTGCAATTCTCATCGATCAAGTACTCTCCCAATGCTTCTGATCTTTAAGTAAATTTCCATTCGATCTTGAGTGCATTCGCATTGGAATGCACGGTAAGTCCATGTATTTATTACGAAATTAAATAATGTAATACTAGATTGAATAGATGTTTTTAATGCAGCTCAACCCAATTGAAATTCTTTTAATCGACAAAACAATATGAATGACTTTTCCTGTGAGTAAGGATGAATTATTTTGTTTTTTTACGTTCAATAAAAATTTAATTTGATTTTAAATCAAATAATTTTTTAAACCATTGCAAAAAATTTTGATGGGACAACTGCATAATCGACGGTATACAAAAGATGCATTTTTAAATTTCCACAATTACAAGATAGTTTCATGAATTTTAGTGAATAAAAGGGAATGAGGGGATGGACTCAATAGCCCTTGCGATAAAAAACTCCAATTCTTTTCAAAAAACTACATTAGAGTAGTCCCTGAGAATATGTGGGCGTCCACATGAAAAGGGCCCACTGACGGTATTGGAGTTATGTATGTTCCGATAATCTTGATCAGATTTCTCACATTTTGAGCCCAAAATCAACCCGATAGAATGAAAACTGACGTCAGTATAGACGATCAAAAAAACAATTTAACATTGGTTTAAATGGGAGATGTGGAGAGAAAAACGTGAATATCTCGGAAACTAGATGCGACAAAGTGGGCCCTTTTCACGTGGACGTACACATATTTGTAATTCAGTTTGAAGTGTTCGCCATTCATTTTTTACACATTCAATGAAAATTCAATCTGATTTTCAACCCAGGATTTGGAAAGAAGAAAAAAAGCAACACTTTTTTAAACAATAAAACGTGGTTTTTAATAGAGCAAATGCATAATCTACGATATACAAAGCTTTCATTTTAATATTCTAACAATTACAAGACAATCCCATGAATTTTAATGATTAAAAAGGAATGAGGGGGGTGTACTTAATATCTCTTGCGATAAAAAACAACAATTCTTTTTAAAAAACTACATCAGAGTAGTCCCTGGCAACATTTGTAATTCAGTCTGAAGTGTTCGCCATTCATTTTTTACACATTCAATGAAAACCAAATCTGATTTTCAACCCAGGAATTAGGAAGAAGAACAAACGCAAAATTTTTTTCAACAATAAAACGTGTTTTTTAATAGAGCAAATGCATAATCTATGATATACAAAGCCTTCATTTTAATATTCCAACAATTACAAGACAATCCCATAAATATTAATGAATAAAAAAGAATGAGGGGGGGTGGCCTCAATCTCTTGCAATAAAAAACAACAATTCTTTGTAAAAAACTACATCGGAGTAGTTCCTGGCAACATTTGTAATTCAGTCTGAAGTGTTCGCCATTCATTTTTTACACATTCAATGAAAACCAAATCTGATTTTCAACCCAGGAATTAGGAAGAAGAACAAACGCAAAATTTTTTTCAACAATAAAACGTGTTTTTTAATAGAGCAAATGCATAATCTATGATATACAAAGCCTTCATTTTAATATTCCAACAATTACAAGACAATCCCATAAATATTAATGAATAAAAAAGAATGAGGGGGGGTGGCCTCAATCTCTTGCAATAAAAAACAACAATTCTTTGTAAAAAACTACATCGGAGTAGTTCCTGGCAACATTTGTAATTCAGTCTGAAGTGTTCGCCATTCATTTTTTACACATTCAATGAAAATCAAATCTGATTTTCAACCCAGGAATTAGGAAGAAAAAAAAACGCAAAATTTTTTTAAACAATAAAACGTGATATTTAATGGAACAAATACATAATCAACGGTATACAAAACATTCTTTTTAATATTTTACACTAAATAGAAAATTAATAAAATTGAACATTACAAGACCATCCCATGAATTTGAATGAGGGAAAAGGGAATGGGGGGGGGGTGGACTCANGGGGGGGGGGGTGGACTCAATATCTCCTGCAATAAAAAACGATAATTCATAAAAAAATTGTACATCTGAGTAGTCCCTGGCAGTATCTGTAATTCATGTTGAAACGTGAGAAAATGTGAAAACTCATTCAGTCATTAAGAGTCAGCCATCAAATTCTCGAATGTTCCCAATGATGGAAAGTAGAAAAATTATAAAAATACTCATCCACACTTTTGCGATCTATATTTACATTTGCAAGTACGTAATTGGATTCGTTTATTCCATGCTATCCCTCCTGTTTCTTCAACCAACGAACTGAGAAAGATCGGGGAGTTTGAAATCATTGAAAGAGGTAGGATTGCTCGGTCCAGGAGCTGAGAATGCGAATGCTGATGCTGATGCCGATGCTGATGCGCTTTGGAATGATTGTCTCGATGTTGAGTCGGTTGCTGCCAGGGCGAAACCGCATTGAGCGGTGCAGACATCGTCACGTAGAATGGCTTCCCGAGAAGCTTCACGCAGGAGTTGAGCGCAATCGGTGACTCTTAGAGAGGCACATTGTGTCTGAGAATTGGAAAAATTGAAAATATAATTAATAACGCGTATGAGAAATTAAAAATTAAATATTATACTTTTTATTAGTCTTTTAGACGATTCTAATAAAAAATTTCCGCAGTTTATCTCTGCGTTTTTTATAGAAATATTCAACAGAAAATTTGCTGTAGAAAAAATCAATAGAATTTGATTCTCCTATACAACTTATTTTACTGAGATATTTTCTATAGAAATTTTTCGGCTCCAATTTTCTCATTTTTTGTGAGATTTTTTTTAATGACAAAAGGAGAAAAATAAAGTGGAAAAAACTTTAAAAAATCATATCGAGACATTCCTATAGAAGAAGACTCAATAGAAATAATTATATAGGAACATGAAGTTCTACGGATTTTTTCTATAAAAAATAGATTCTCTTGGCCATTTTCTGTAGAAAAAAAGAATTTTTCAATAGAATCAGCCAAAAACTAATAGAATTTTCTATCGAATTCGTAAGATTTTTCTATAAAATTATTTGACATTTGCTCGTGCTGCATCACAATAGTATATTGTATTACTAGTGCGTAAAGTGCCCCGTTTCCGTACGCACATGTGACACATCCATTTTTCTTGTGATACTTGCCGAGTTTACTGTGAGTAACGGTGTGAGAGGTAAAATGGTTATTTTCGTGCACGAGTGCGCAAAGTTCAAGAGCGTGCGTAACGTGAATTTCGAGTGCGTAAAGTGAAGTTTTAGAGTTATGCCGTAATTAATGCAACGCCAGATGTACGCAACGCTTGCAATTGCCGAAAATATATAATATACTATTACGCACGACCTCTGAACTTTACGCACGCCGTGCGTAAAACAAGCACTTACGCACACTAAACGGTTCCGAAAAGTGAACTTTTCAGGCAGGTATCACTAAATAATATATTTCACATCGAAAACCCCTGTGGCACTGGACGTGAACGATATTTTTCCGAAATAACTTTCACTTTTGCAAGTTCGGGGAAAGCTCAATACCAAAAAGTCTTAACCCCCTCAAAAATTGATGCTCACCCCCTCATTAGTGCAGACACAGCTGGTGCACGGTGAGGGGAACCCGCTCTCCCCAACAGCGAGATTCCTCCCCCCAATCAGGCACCCGGTGCTCCTGGTCTCCCTCCACGCGCTGAAGTCCATCTGCGCCATAGTGCTACACGGCACCCTAGGATTCAGGAAATTCGACGGCAGATCGAACGCAGCCCTCTGCATTTCCACATGAGAGTCCATATTCTCGCAAAGCACTTTAGCCAGCGTATTCTTCCTGATCTCCGTCAACTGTTGCTCCGTGAACCTGATGTTCGGATCGTCAGTTTCATACCAGAACCTGTCGCACTTCCTCAACTGCCTCATCTGTATCGCGATGATGCACCCGAAGGTGGGTCCCACCAGGCCCCCCTGCAGCGGCCGTTCGCTCATGCCCCCGGGGAACAGATCTATATCATCAACACTCGCGTAGATTCTCTTCAACCTCGCGATGACCTCCGGCGCCATCTCCCTGGAGAGATCCTCAAAAGTCGTTGCCCTCTTCAAGTTACAAAGTGCGCGGTAGTTATTATAACCGGGGATTCCGTGATCGCGAGCTCTCTGAACGTTCAGAGCAATCAGATCCACCCCAGAATGTAGAATCTTCCTGTTCTCAAACAGGTGATTCGTCACTTCCCCAGTGATGAATTGGTCCATCGTCTCCATGGGAGTGGAGACCAGCCCCCTGAGCATTTCGTCAACCATGTCAACTCTGTAGAGCATGTCGACGTTGAAGAAGCCATCGCGAAGGAGGATGGGAGGGTCGACAGCTCTATAGTTCTGGTCCATCCTAGGTAGATGCGGTCTCAAGAGGGAGTGCCCTATCCTGTAAGCTGCACTCGCAAACTCGGTGAGGATGCTCGGATTACAGGTCGGGGAGTACTCCCTGTAGTACCCCTGGGGCAGGAGCTTGAGCCCGTACAAGCTCACAGCATTCCACCCAAGAATCCGCGGAAGGAATTCATTGTAAGTTATGTGCTGCAGCATTGCGCCGAGGATTCTCCTCGTCTCCTGGTACAGCTTTTCCCCGTCCCAATGAGGATTGACCCTCCTCAGCCCCTCCATAATCCTGTTGTGCTCGCGAACCCACATGGTGTGCATGACCGTCAACCCAGGCTGCTCCGAAGCCCTCCCATCGCCCCCAATGAAGCAATACCCAGAAGGTGACTTGCACTCCGGGTGGGTAGCCGATTGCGGCAGAAGGTCCTTGAGCCTGTTCGGATGATTCGTGATGTTCATCCGGCCGCTGAAACCCCGGAGAATATTCCCGATGCAGATATTCTCGCCGTAAACAACGGAGGCGTCTAAGAACGCTGTGTTCTGGTTGACTTGCTCACGCGGTCCGAGGTTCTGCTGACCCGGCAGGGATCTCATCGAAGGAATGCAGAGTCTCTCACCAGTTGTTGCGTTGTGCGTCGGGAAGAAGTGGTCACCAGGTGGTACCGGGAAGGGATTGCACTCTGGGTGAACAGTCCTAGCTGAGTCGCAGGATCTGCACGAGGGGATTGACTCGGCGAAGCCTTTGTGAATGGGGGTCATTGTGAGGTCGTGATCTACGAACTGGGCGAACTGCATCACCATCAATGTGTATCTGTTGTGGAGGTTTGAGATGTCCGGGTGCATGGTTGTGGATATAGTCCTGGGGTTCGGCAGGGGTCCGCCGCGAACGGAGGTGATCCTGGGTTTCGAGACGCCATCGTCGTAGACCGGTGGCAACAGCCTCGCAAATGTCGTCAGGGATTTTCCCAGCCTGGGATTCCTCAGGTTGTTGCAGTGTCCTGTGTGCGTTCTGTAAGGAGTCGTTGGGTCGCAGGGGCTGTCGTCGACGGGACAGTCTATCTCACTGGGATCAACGGGTCTTGAGTTCGACACGAAATTAGTCAGATCAACGTTTTGCAGGACGTCTGAGAAGTCATTACCGGGGAATCCCAGAATGTTATCAGAGCTGTCGAAGGCCTGACGCTTCCTTCTCCGCAAGCCTTGAGCGCCGTTGACGATCTCGTTGGTCGCCAGCTCGTAGAGGATCGAGGAGTTGGCGAGGGAGAGGGCATCTCTGTTGGCTTTCGAGAAACTGGCAGCAGTGCCCGCTGGTGACTTGGGATCCGCGTATCTCTGCTGAAGCCAGGAGTTATACTCCAAACGCTTTCTCTCGATCAAGTCTTGTTGGGCCTTGGCCAGAGCCGCCGCGATCATGTCAGCGTTGATGAGGGGCTCCTCAGGGCTTTCGAGCCACGATGATGAAGGCTTCTCAGTGTCGATGCCAATAACATCATCACTGCTCCTGTTTGTCTGCTCCTTCTCGTCTTCATCGCCTGTTTCCTCCTTCCAAGCGGACAAATCGAGCGGATTGTGCCTATCGCAATCGATCTTGGCGTTGAGGTAGGCGTCGCTCTGTAGGAAAGCCATTGGCTGAACCACACCTATCGGAATATTCGCGCACAGAAGACCCGCGAGACTGGTTCTCCTCATTGCTGACAGTTGCTCGCTGCTGAGGCTCGATGGCGGCAGGTCGTTTTCGTACCAGAATCTGTCGGAGTTTCTGATCTTCGCTAGTTGACCAGCTAGGAGGCAGCCGAATGTCGGTCCCACTGCCGATCCGTCACTAGGATTCTCCAGTATTGCACCGACCAGGAGGTCCACATCGTCCGCCCGGCCGTAGATGTTCTCCAAGAGGACTTTGTTCTCGGGTCTCATGTGTCTGCTCATCGTTCCCGATGTGCAGCGGTCCAAGAATGCCGTGTACCCGGGGATCCCGTGGTCTCTGGCTGCATGGATCAACAAAGCTGACGCGTTCCAGTAGTTGTTGCCCGTCCAGTGTAGCACGTTGAGGGTCAGCGGGCTCGCGGCGTGCTCTATCTCGGCTTCGAGAGAGGGCTCTGCTGATGTCGAGCGCTTTGAGAGGGACGTCAGGGCAGGCAGCACTGCCAGGGCGACTGCGTCGAAGGCGCCAGCTCGGTTGTTCGAGGAGTAGCCTTTGTAGGAACCCGAGTTTATTTGCTCGAGCTCACCGGTGTCCGACTCTCCAAGGATGCTGGAAGCGAACTCCTGGAGGGTTATCCTCTGGATCTGCGCGACCACTGCTCTCCTCGCCTCTAGGAAGAGCTTCGCGTCGTCCCAGTGAGCGTTGAGCTCACTCAGTCGTCTGGCGATTCTGTTGTGCTCGCTCAGCATCAAGGAGTACAGCTTTCCGAGCTTGCTTGTGCTGTCGTTGCAGGCCTCGCAGTTCGTCAGGTCGACGAGACCAGACTCGTACTTCCGGATTTTGTGGAGCTGGTCGTCCGTGCTGCCGTAGATGTCGGAGCCGTCCAGATAACCGGACACTCCGTTCATCTGCTCACGGCCGCTGAACTTGCAGCCGTAGGCCGTGCGCGAGGGGACGTTCCTGTAGTAGGGCTTGCAGTCGCCTGTGGGCTCCGAGCTCGGGTAGCATTCTGGGTGCGGGGAATCGCGGTGACAGCAGCGGGACAGGTCGAGGTCCGGGAAGACTGGGGAGGAGATGTCCCGGAGGACCAGCTCCGACCACAGACCGGCTAGGCTGGTCAGGGCTTTTCGCTCCTCGTTGGGGAGACCTCGGCGGAGGCTCGACGTCTCCAGGCGCGAGACTACCTCCGACGCGCTGGGGAGAACGTGGCGCGTCGATGATGATCTCGGGCGGGATAGACCTGCAAAATTGAAGGGGTTTGGTCAGATTTTTTCGGAGCAATTTAACGCCTTTAGTCTTTATTTTTTTAATACTTTGGCGATCGCGCTGTGAGCGTCGCGCCGCGCTTTTTCCAATTTTTTAAATAACATTGCAGTAAAGCCTCTGAACAATTTGAAAAAAATTGACATGTGATTTTGAAGTGTCCAGAAGGCTCATCAATGAAAATATCCGCCAAAAATATCGTAAGTTGTTAGATTATCAAATTTTTATTCCGAAACTCTGGGCCGTGTTCCATGTAAAAGGTGAATTTTCAAAAAAACATGGGTACCTTGAGATTAAATGTATAATTAAGGGTAATATTGAACATAAAAAATCTAAAATTGACGAATTTTCTTGACGAAAAATCTCAAGACAAAAATTCAAACAGAAATTCGAAATATATCGATTTTTTCTTATCGAATATCCAATAGAATCAGCGCAAAAAACAAATAGAATTTCTCAGTAGAATTCCAATAGAAATCCTATAGAAACCCCATAGAATGCCTATTGAATTCCAATAGAATTTTCTAGTGAATTCTCCAGGTTTTCTATTGAATTTTTTCATACGTGACGAACCAGAACAGTAGTTACGAGATTTTCAATTCGTCTTTTTTCTTCACACCAGGACAGGGTGCGCGCTTCGCGCGCGTATTATTTTTCATGGGTGCCGAAATGGCAAAATCTTACCGTTTCTCACTTTCATTAATTTTTATTTAAAAATTACAGTGTAAAACATGTATACCCTGCATAGTATGTACTACAGAATATATATAGTATATTTTATATATCATATACATAAATACCATGTTGTACATGTAAAATTTTAATCTTCTCGTATACCCTTTCGGGTCTTTACGATTTGTTCCCTTGCCACCCCCCAACCCCCTGTACCGCATTCGCCGAAGGACAAGGGAAAACCTCATTTTGAGGGAAAAACCTGCCCAGGGACAGTCGTCTCTTGCGAGACTTTCGCTCGACAACGAAACCGTGAGATTTAGAGTGTCACAAATTTTGGCATGCCAATCCCATACTCTAACCACACAGCCACCGCCATCGGTATGTTATACATGTATTTTTTTATTATAGAAACAATGAATTTCTCTTTTTTTACAATCCACTTTCAAAAAATTCGGTGTAACGATTTATGAAGCCTCTATTCCGCTTATCAAGTAATGTAATATGATGTCTATGTATATTTTTTTATGTACTGTAATCTTTTGTTTATCGTAATTGTAAAAAAAGAGAAATTCATTTCTTACTGTAATAAAAAAATACATATGTACATGGTATATAATATATACCATACATATATCTTTTATACTGTAATCTTGTGATAAAAATTAATAAAAGTGAGAAGCGGTAAGATTTTAATATTTTAACACCCATCAAATATGACGCGCGCGCTCTTTTCTAGTTACTGTAAACGAAAGATTACAGCACATAAAAAGATATACATAGACATCATATTGCATTACTTGATAAGCGGAATGGAAGCTTCAAAAATCGTTACACTGGATGTTTTTTTAAAGTGGAATGGTACGGGCTCAGATATCAGGGAATTATGCGCAGAGGTTCAAATGCCTAGATTTGAATAAAATATAAGCGAGAGGCATGGGTCACAGGCATTTGTGGGTATAAAAAGGAGGAGTAGAGGCGTGAAGGTGAGCTCTGCAGATGTAATGCTACCAACGCGAAATATATACGTTGGCGCGTTCCAATTTTCACTTTCCATTCTTGACCCGATACGAGTGGTATGTGCCCGCGAGCTCAAGGAGCCACACACACACATTTACACGCTTGGACCCAACTTTCTTTCTTCCCCATTCTATTTTTCCAGCTGAGACTTTCATCGGCTAAATTTTTCCTCTTTCCGACAAATCTCGAGGGGTTTTTGTTCCTCAAACGTGTCACGGTGGCTTTAGCAACAAAAAATCTTAGTGGATTCAATCTTAGACTTGTACATCTAGATCAGTGATTTCTCAGTGCGAGTGAGTGCTGAATGCTGATGAGAACGCACGGATTCGTTTCAGTAGCGAAGTGGTAAAACGGTTCAAGTCAATTTTGACTGTTGGCCAGTTTTCAATGAATATCTCGGAATGCAAGGGAGATAGCAAAATTTTTATTATAACCTTTTTTGTAGAGCCGATTGAGAGCTACAACAAATGTAATGACGAAAATTTCGCTATCTCCCTTAGATTCGGAAAAATTTCTCAAAAACTCAACTGGGAGATGAGTCGACTTAAATCGTTTTACCACTTTGCTACTGATTTAATTATGAAGTATACGAATTATAAGAAGACTGAAAAACTAAATCAGTAGCGAAGTGGTAAAACGATTCAAATCAATTTTGACTTTTGCCCAGTTTTCAATAAATATCTCGGAATCTAAGGGAGATAGGAAAATTTTTGATAAGACCTCTTCTGTAGCACTCAATTCGCTCCACAAAAAAGATCATTACAAAAATATCGTTATCTGCCTTAGATTCGGAGATATTCCTCAAAAACTCAGATAAGAGCTAAGTCGACTTAAACCGTTTTACCACTTCGCTAATGAAATCAAGTTCATGCAAATTTTGCTATTCCCTTTCGCCTATTTTTTGTTTTTATTGTTTAGTTTTCCCCAATGGTAAAGATCTGCATACGTGAGATGTGAAAAAATAATTAGTGATCCACGAAAGTGAGCTCAATAGCAAATGAGCAAATGATGAGCTTTTCGTCGATACCACTTGCATTTTACTTTTATACTTGTGTATCGAAACATATTGTTTTATATTTTTCATGCTATCGTGTCTCCCAGATAATGTTGTAACAAGTCTACGACTTATTCAATGAAGATTTATTATTATTTTTTAGTTATTGTGGGACGACCATTTTTTGAAAAAAATCGAAAACTCTGAAATTTAATATGTGAATTGAATTTGACTTGATGACGACGAATAGAGCTCTATAATACCTATATTTAGAAAAAATGGTTATATTTTATGGATTCAGTAGCGATCAATTGAAGAAAAAATTATGAAGCGAAAATATTAAACTCTAGAAAACGGCTGTAGAAAATAGTCAATACCGTCTGAGTACTTCGAAGATATAAACTTTAGGTAAGGTGACCCTCTAGCCCCCCAGGACGGATGTCTGATATTATTGCAAGCTCCGGACGGTGTTCTGTACTTGGATGGTGGACAGGGACTCTCCCTCGTGTCGATGCAGTCACTGCTGTTTTTGTTAACTGCACTCTGCCTCCTAGAGGAACAGAAACACTGTTAGAAAAGAATTGGAATTTCACAATAAAAAATAATTCTTCTCAACTTCTACCTAAAATTCTATTTGGTTTTGACCGATTCTGTCGAAGAATTCCATAGCTTTACTTCGTGTTTTTTTTAATAGAAAATGTCCGGTACAAGATTTTTATAGAGAAAATCAGCAGAATTTCATCCTTCTATGCAACTTTTTCTTCTTGACATTCTCCATAGAAATTCCTCGACATGAATTTCCTAAGTTTTCTCACTTCATTTCTCTTCTATTTTCATTATAAAAATGAAATTAAAGCTTGGGAAATTTATAGAATAAGATGCATTGGAAAATCAAATTCTATTGATTTTTATTGCAGAATTTTTTCAATAGAAAAATCCAATAAATCTTCGGAAAATTCAGAAATTCATTCACCTGAATAATTGAACTAAAATTTAGTTTCCATTGAATTTTCCATAACATTTTGAATCTTCAATTACAAAATCTTCTCAAATTTCAGGGAAATCATGACGGAATAAAAATTTCCTAAAAGTGTCGGGGGAGGGTGGGGCAAAATGGATACTTGAATGTTCTTCCAATATTCATCCCTCAAAAATAAATTGAAATTTCATAGAAAAAAAATCTCATGTTCATCAAAAATTCAGTGAGTTATCTATATTAAATTATCCGTTTTGCCGACTATTTTTAACAGTGAAAATTTTTGAAATATCAACATTTTTTTTAATTAGAAAAAATATAAATATCTATAACGTGACAATTAATAATGCGCAATTCATCAATCCCAATTGATCGATGAATTCCCCCAGCCGGGTTTTTCCGCTCCTATTGCCAACAACTTCACCCTCAGCATTTACGTCATCCTCCTAAACAACAAGTTTCACTTTCACGGCCAAAGATTCCCGTTTAGCCGGTAAATCCCGTCTGTTTTCGTTCAATTTCCCAAAAAGGTGATTTGAAATGAACGTCTCGGCATGCCAACAATCCCATGTTTTTTCATATTGAACGGGTCCCCGCTGGGTTTCACCTTCGTCCTGATACCATCATCATTGACCTTTCTTCATTTTGGTTAAATTTTTTATCTCCGAAATTGGCATTTTAGCCATTTACATAGAGTCCTCAAGCCCGCCAGTAGTTAGATGTGAAGGACAATGACTTACCAGTTGTTTTGAAAGGCATGTCGTTCGGCCTCGATGGCGGCACGTGCTCGGGCTTGGAGATCATCGTCGATGCCATAAACATATTCTATAAATAAATAAATTTACGGGTTTAGGTTCTGTTTTCCGTTCAACAGGTCGGGGAGTTAAGTTAGAACCCCTGAATAATTTAATTGGTGTTTAACATATTCGATTTTATATACTTCTTGGGAAGAAATCTAGATGGAATTCAACAAAAAAAAATCTGTTTGTTTTTTTTTGTTGCTTTAATATTATCCCACAGGAAATTTAATGTTGATAGTCTGTTTTTTAAGCTCTCCTAATTGTAACATTTGAAAAATAGAACAACTTTCAACATTTTCTGCATCGATTGAATAATCATGATGATGATGAAATGAATCTTCATCATCGATGCCATAAACATATTCTATAAATAAATAAATTTACGGGTTTAGGTTCTGTTTTCCGTTCAACAGGTCGGGGAGTTAAGTTAGAACCCCTGAATAATTTAATTGGTGTTTAACATATTCGATTTTATATACTTCTTGGGAAGAAATCTAGATGGAATTCAACAAAAAAAAATCTGTTTGTTTTTTTTTGTTGCTTTAATATTATCCCACAGGAAATTTAATGTTGATAGTCTGTTTTTTAAGCTCTCCTAATTGTAACATTTGAAAAATAGAACAACTTTCAACATTTTCTGCATCGATTGAATAATCATGATGATGATGAAATGAATCTTCATCGTCGATGCCATAAACATATTCTATAAATAAATAAATTTACGGGTTTAGGTTCTGTTTTCCGTTCAATAGTTCAGGGCATGAAGTTAGAACCCCGGAATAATTTAATTGGTGTTTACCATATTCCATTAGAAATCTAGATGGAATTGCTTTCATGTTATCCCACAAGAAATTTAATGTTAATAGTCTATTTTTTAAGCTCTCCTAATTGTAACATTTGAAAAATTGAACAACTTCCAACATTTTCTTCATCGATTGAATGATAATCATGATGATGAAATGAATCTTCCTCGTCGATGCCATAAACATATTCTATAAATAAATAAATTTACGGGTTTACGTTCTGTTTTCCGTTCAACATGTCGGGGAGTTAAGTTAGAACCCTTGAATAATTTCATTGGGGTCTTGTCATATTTGATTTCATATACTTCTTGGGAAGAAATCTAGATGAAATTGCTTTCATTTTATCCCACAGGAAATTTAATGTTGATAGTCTGTTTTTTAAGCTCTCCTAATTGTAACATTTGAAAAATAGAACAATTTCCAACATTTTCTTCATCGATTGAATGACGATCGTGACGATGAAATGAATCTTCATCGTCGATGCCATAAACATTATCACATAATAATAATCCGATAAAATGTTTAATCTCCAATTCTCAATTTCTGTCATTTATTCTATTCATTCTATGAAAAGACAACGAAAGGAATCCAATCTATGGGTATTCTTTCTTTTATTCTTTCTTTATTCTTTTATTCGAAAAAAATGGATGTTCAAAATTTTCAAGAATACATGGAGAAATTTTTATATTCCCCGAATGAGGTTTTCAATTACTGTTGTTTTATGTGTTTGTTTTGATCACAAAAAAACTTTTTATTGATGCTTAATATAATTTCTCTTCATTCAATGTTGTAACATGTGAATTACGGGAAAAAATATATAATAAAAATAAGAATGGATAAAGTTAAATTAATCTAAAATTGAATTAATTAATCTAAAGTTATAAGAAAGAAAATATAATAAAATAGAATAGTACAAACTAATCTAAAATACTAGCGAAGCGCTCGTTCGCTAGTATTCTATAAATAAATAAATTTAGCAGTTTAGGTTCTGTTTTCCGTTCAATGTATCAGGGAGTTAAGTTAGAATCCTTGAATAATTTCATTGGTGTTTTACTCTTTTATCATGTAGATGTAAACATATTTTTTAATACTTCTTGGAAAGAAATTTAGATGGAATTGCTTTAATATTAACCCACAGGAAATTTGATGTTAATAGTCTATTTTTTTAAGCTCTTCTACTTGTAACATTTGAAAAATCAAACAACTTCCAACATTTTCTGCATCGATCGGACGATGAACATGATGATGACATGAATCTTCATCGTCGATGCCACAAACATATTTTGTAAATAATAAATTTCCAACTGAACCAACCGAATTATTTAGTTTTCTTTGAGAAGAAATATGAACGGAAATGCTGTCGATCATATTATTCATTCCACAGGAGATTTAGTATCAACAGTCTTTTTTTTAAGCTCTTCTAATTGTAACACTTGCCCTCAGCACGTGCCTAGATTAATCGAAAAACAGTCTCTCCTTTCTTGTGTCGAAACGTGTCATTAAATTTCCTTGCAAAATAGAGCCATAATTTTCAACATTTTGTGCACCAATTGAATGACGAACGCAATGATGAAATGAACCTTCATCATTTATGCCATGAACGTATTCCATAAATAAATTTCTAGGTTTAGGTCTCTTTTCCGTCGAAGGTTTCAGGGAATTAAGGGGAGACTACTACGAGTTTTAAAAGTCGTGGGTTATTGGAGTGAGACTTTTCATACGTTGAAGATCGAATACATAGATCTGAAAACGAATAATTAGTGCAAATTTTTTTTTTATTGTTCGTTTGCCCGAAAACGCTTAAAATGCCAAAAACAGTCCAGGGCCTCCAATTTTTAAGCTACGAAGGATTTTATTTTTTCAAAATTTTTGGAAAAATATGTGGAATAACAATTACGAGCTAGTTTTTTTTTAAGTCGCCTCTTACATGGTTAAATTTGCTTTTTTGTATTTTTTACACAAATAGTGAATTGTTTTATATGAAAAAAACCGAAATCAGTTGTGCAGGAGTAGAATTCCAAAAAACTGGCTCGTAATTGTTGTTCCACACATTTTTCCGAAAATTTTGAAGAAAAAAAATCTTTTGTAGCTCAAAAATTGGAGGCCCTGGACTGTTTTTAGCATTTTAAGCGTTTTCGGGCAAACGAACAATAAAACAAAATTTTTTTTGCACTAATTATTCGTTTTCAGATCTATATAATCGATGTTCAATGTATAAAAACTCTCACTCCAATAACCCACGACTTTTAAAACTCATAGTAGTCTCCCTGTAAGCTAAAACCATTGAATAATTTTGCTGTTGTTTCATTCTCCTCTTATGTGGATGGAAAAATATTCGATTTGATGTACTTCTTTATATCAACTCAGGAGATTTAGTATTATCAATCTAATTTTTAAGCTCTTCTAATCCTAGCACTAGCCCTCAGCGCGTGCTTGGACTAATCGAAAAACAGTCTCTCCTTTCTTGTGTCGAAACGTATCATTAAATTTCATTGAAAAATAGAACGACAATTTTCAACATTTTATACATCAGCTGAATGATAAACACGATGATGAAATGAACCTTCAGCGATACATTCGGAGAAACGGTCTATTTGAATTCGATGAGTGGGTTTGACAAATTGATCGCTTTTTAATGTAGAAAAATGCTTCCTCTTTCCAAATGAAGATTAATAGCTCGAAATTGAATCATTAATATGCAGTAATTCATCATTTTAATAAGATGAATTATTTATCTGGCTCCAGTGGAAGATTTATCCGGAATTCATGAACTATTTATTCTGTATTAATCAATTTCATTAATTTTCACCGAAAATAGTGTTGAAATGAACGGTAAAACCTCAAATTAAGTCATTTTTTTACTCAAATACGTAATTTCTATTCGTGTACATGTCTACGTTACGATCATTGGCATATGCTAATCAGAGTAATAATAATAAATAAAAAATGTGGAGAACCGAAACATAAATTATTCGAAATATTAATAACTATTTCAGCAAAAAAAGAATTGAGACAAAATTAATTTTAAAAATGGCTAAAAAATAAATAAGATGAACCATTTATTTGATTTCAAAACAAGATTCATTCGGAATTAATAAACAATTCATTGTTTATTAATCAATTTCATTAATTTCCAACAAAAATATTGTTGCAATGAACGGCAAAACGTCAAATAAAGACATGTTTTTATTCAAATTCGTCATTTCTATTCGTGTACGCGTCTACGTGACGATTATTTTCATGCGCCAATCAGGATAATAATAATTACAATAACAATGATAATAATGATATTAATGATTGACGATTATGAAGAAAAAATGGGGAAAACCAAGATATGAATTACTCGAAACAGCAATAACTCTTTTCAGCAAAAAAAATTAAGATAAAATTAATTTTAAAAATTGCTAAAAAATAAGATTTGAAGTTGAAAAATTGGGGGACTAATCCACAATATAAAATCAATAAGATACCCGCGACGTTCATCAACAATTTGAATTTTAGAAAATTACGTAGACAATGGGTATGATGAGTAAGAGAAAGGTACACGGTATTTCGATTACGCATAATTCGCATGGAGGCGTGCGTTTCAGGAGGTAAACGATAAGACGTGCCTCGGAGCACGTAATAGTTTTACAGACGTGACGATTAATTGACATGACGTGAACATATTATCAGGATGTTTGAGCGAATCCCGAGTATTCTGTAATTTGTGCTTAATATTTTGCAAAATTCATTTTTTCAGTTTCTTCAGTTAATTTTGTTTTGCTTATGCAGAAATGAAATTTAAAAAACTGCGGTTTTTACGTACCATTCAAATCGACATTGTGAATGACAGTGCTGGCAAACGTCTGGCAGATCACAATGAGCAGTCCAATCAGCACAACTGCATTGCCGCTGTAAATTAAAGAAAAATATATGCGTTATGAGTTGAGTCTCATCATTCCTCACTCACTTTCACCTTTTGCCGTTGAGCAGTCTGGAATACATAGAAATATATCGGCAATTACAGTGGTTATAGCGCTGAATATTCCGGAAGAGAATAAAACAATTCGTAACGACGAAGTAAAAATTCATGACGAGGTGTTAAGGATATCTAAGTACTTTGGCCATTTTTTCTCCAGTGAAATGGTTTTCTATTTTTGCAGTCGAACATTAGAGCCTTCATTTGAGCCCCATTTGACCCTAAGTGTCGGGACATTTTGCAATGATTTTATTATTTAAATTTTGCAGGTCGGAATTTAAATCTCCATATTCAACCGCTAGCAAACATTTCGACAATCTCTTTCCGTCTTCGACCCAAGTTAAATTTTCATTGTTGTTTTATATTATGTATGATTTGTTTGATGCTGTAATTGGCCTTGCTCTCTTGGATCTCTATGAAATAAAAATGAAAATGAAAAATGAAATGAAAAAAAATTAGAGAGTTTACTTTTGGAGGAACACTGATGAAATAATTTAAAAATTGCAATTTTTGAAAATTACGAGAATTTTCTATAGATAATTTATAAACAATCAATTGTCCAACATAACAAATCATTTGTTTGGAATCGTAACAAATCATTCAAATTCAGAATTTACCAGAAATAGATTTCATGCCTGAAAAAAGTTTTCGGAGATTTTAAACAATTTCAATTATGTATTTATGAACAACGAATGTTATTTAAAAAAATAATAGTTCTGTGCGAAATGTGATTTGAATGACGCTGAATATTCATGATTTTTTTCGGAATTTTCTCACCTAATTTAATTGACAAATGTGATAATTGAAATTGGTTGAATTTATAGTGTGTTTGGTAAACTGCACTAAGCTGTAGAAAATACTTGGATATCATTAAATTGGCTAATTCAGCGAGTTAAAACTTATCACTGGGGGTTCACGGGTTGTCGCAGAGAACTCGTGAATTTCACGCATGACAAAATTGAATACAAAACCTTAGCGAATTCTTTAGAAAATTCTATTGAAATTCGCTAGAAATTCTCTGGGGATTCTGTGAGGATTCTCACAATCGAGAAATCTGGGAAATTTGGTAAATCTGGAAAACCGAGATAATTTGGTAAGGAAATTAGTTATTGGACGGACTGGCGTTTTTAATTGCATCAAACGAACCCTGGCAACTGAAGCACCGGAGCACAAGGGAAAATTAAAACAAAAATTAATAATACATACTTTTGAGCCAAAAATACTCAAAAGGTACATCACAATTCTATTAAAGTTCTGGGGAATTCTCCTTAAAATTCCATTTATTTTTTTGTGCAGATTCTATTAGACGTGTGATAGGAAAAAGTCAATAGATTTCGATTTTTCTGTTTGAATTTTTCTCTTCACATTTTTTCTATTCAAACTATTGGTCACGTTTTTTCCAAGTTTTCCAAGTGTTTTCCGCTCTATTTTGTTTTATTTTGCATTACAGGATCCGAGTGAAAAAACAGAAAATTCATGGCAATATTCCTACCGAAAAATCGAAATCTCTTGACTTTTCCCATCAAATATCAGAATCAGCGCAATAACAAATAGAATTTTAATTGAATTTTTTCATACGTGTTATCACCATCGCAAAACTAGTGGAAAGCCGGTGATTCTGGGGAAAAAATTGAAATATCCACGTGAGAATGGAAATGAGAAACGAGGAAGGAGTAATTGTGGGTCGAAAGTAAAGGAGTAGAGCGTGCTATGATAGCCCCGGGGGTACGGAAACCAGTGTATGGATCAAAGAAAAGGCGCCTTGTGCGCCAGCGGCCAGGGACAGGGGCATGGACACTCGAGAACACGAAAATCGCCTCGAGCAAGATCAAATACTGACGCTTGCTTTCTTTTATCTTCATTTCAAAGCATTTTTTTTAATCACTCGAGCGACAGTCCCTCAAATCCTGCTCAGGGCTTTGAGCAACAGGGCAACATGGATGTATACCGTTATACATCCATCATGTTCATGATGTGGAGATGAATTAACGCTTCTTCATTTCGAAAAATGGTAATTTTAGGAAGGTTTTGGGTGTCAGTGGGTCAACGGAAACAGAAAGAGAAATCGACGATCGCCAGGAGACGCGTCTCAATTGGGTCTACTTTTATTTAACCATTATTTTCTACATTTTTTCGACGAAATATCGTTGGGGAGTGGAATTGTGAGGTTTATAAATTCAGGAATTCAGCGGAGAATTCGAGTTGAGGCCATTAGTTCTTGTTCAATATTTTTTTGCCAGGAGGAGGTGACACGTATGAATTCCGTAGAAAAACTTACCGAATTTACTAGAAAATTCTATTGGAATTCTCTAGAAATTTTATTGGGACTCTGTTAAAATTGTAGAGAATTCTCGTTGAAATTCTATTTCATTTCTGTGCTGAAGTTAATAGATTTCGATTTTTCTATATGAATATTCTCTTGGAATTTTTTCTATAAGAAAACTTGGGCATGAATTTTCTAAGTTTTTTCACTCGGTTCCTGCAATGCAAAACAAAATAAAATATAGCGGAAAAAACTTGGAAAATTTGTGCACAACAGTTTTAATAGAAAAAATCTCGAGAGAAAAATTCAAACAGAAAAATCGAAATCTGTTGACTTCTTCCTATCAAATATTTATTAAAATCTGCGCAAAAAACAAATAGAATTGTAATAGAATCCCCATATCATTTCTAGGGAATTCCAATAGAATTTTCTGCGAATTCGCTGAGGTTTTCTATTGAATTTTTTCGTACGTAGATTTGCTTGCCCCAGTAGTTATGGATGCATGGATGAAAAAAAAAATTTATTAACGACTTTTACATTTGCTGATTAAAATCAGGGAGAAAACACGACAAAATAAAATATAATGAGCAAATAACTTGATAAATAAAAAATTTAACAAAATATAACAAATAAATGGTCGTGAATAAAGTTCTTTAAACACCGATTAAATAAGTAAATGGACTGGATAAAATTGTATCCAAGAGAACTCTTTATACAATTATGACAATTATGTAAATTTCTGTTTGCAGGGTATAATAAAACGCATTCTATCTAGCTATCAATCTAAAATTGGGGATAATATTGGTTGATAATCGCATCAATTAACTCAGGTGTGGAGAAAAGAGTACTTTTTTCTGATCATTTCCCTCTTTATAATTAGATGAAGGTGGTAATTGTTCCTCAGAAAATAGGCTTTCTATTTTTCTTAGATTTTTAAAATGAAATTTTGGCACTGAAATTTTTGATTGTAAGGAGCGAATGAGGCCCTAAGAATGTGTCCAAGAGGTTCAAAATGAAGAGCAAAATTTAAACCTTCAAGCGAATAATAAAACAATAAAAATACTCTTGCCGATTTTTCATTATCAAGTCTCGAAAATTTGAAGGAAAAAATCATTTCCAAAGTTGAAAACTCATTTTCTCTTCAATAATTATTAATGAAAAATATTCCCTTATTTCCTGAATTTTCTTCTAGAAAACCTGATTAAAAACCTGTGTCCTAAAGGTTCAAAATGAACAACAAAATTAAAATTTTCAAAATGGATAATTGAACAATAAAGATATCCTTGCAGATTTTTAATTATTAAGTCTCAGAAATTTGAAGGAAACCCTTCTCAAAGTTGAAAATTCATCGTTTATAAATTATTTATCAAAATCAAATCAACACCTAATCCTCAGGCGCTGTAATTTCCCATTACTTCAAAAATCTCCAAAATACAGACAGTCTTTAAAAAAAAAAATTTATGTTTTGTAGCGCTCAAAATAACGAATGAAATATAGACATCAAAGTTTAAATAATAAAACCCTCTCTAAATTTCACATTATCTTAAAATTGTTTTAAAAAAGACATTTTAAAAATATATTTTTACGTTGTCTGACGCTCAAAATAACGAATAAAATGCAGACCTCAAACTTTAAACAATTAAACCCTCCCAAAATTCTCAAATTAACTGGGGCAAAACAGGTTCCCATGACCCCCGCCCCCCACCCCCCAACCCGCTTGCGCCTCAATAATCATTCCAGAATCAACAAAAACCTATCTCAATTCAGGAATGAATTCCTCTCTGCGCAGACACCGGTGAAAGTGTTCTCCACATTTTTTTAATCCAAACGACGTGACTAGACGAATCAAAATCCGCTACCAGTTCCGGGTACAGTATCGCGCCGTCAAGGTCGTCCCCCCAAAGAATTCGTCCCCAATAAAATTACACACCCAATAGTGCGTAATGAGGATGAATGCAAGCGATCACAAACTATATCTAATCGAATTGCACTTATGGCCAGGAGAATCGAGAATAATGGTCTTGCAATGTGGTTATCCTTGACTCAATCCTTCTCCCGGTATTCCGCGTGACTCGGGTATCCCCCATTTTTATTTTTTCGTAACGGAGTATTACTTAAGCGATGAGAAAGCGGGATGGCACGTGATACATTTCAAACGAAATTGTTTTAATGGAGCACACGACGAAAAATAACTGTTGGTTTTTCTATTGATAGTATTGACACCGTAAAAACACGTTCTCGGGCCAACGATTTCCCCCCTAAATCCCTGCGCAATCCCATTTTTTACCCTGAATAATGGACGGATTAAAGTAAATTGAGTAATTGCCCCGGAGAAATGTCAAGACTTGGCAAGATCGCAGTGGGAAAAAATTACTCGGGGAGAAAAAATCGTGTGTCATGAGGGAATTTTCTGAATGTTCTAATTGTCATTCAGCACTCTATAAACAACTATTATCATCATAAACTTATTGCATAATTCGCGGTGAGCTAATGATGCTGGGGATAAGGAACCCTGACCTGCGCCAACAAAATTACTGCCGCCGTGTATTCACTATTGCACTGTTAGACTTTTTTTGAAATTTGAGGAATAGTTTTTCAATGGTTAGTGTTACAAAAAAATGATCATTTCAATTTTTGGGGAAAATTCCAGAATTAAA